CTCTTTTGATATTTTTATATCCGATATTTGGACATATATTTTTCTTTCCTTCCTTTTCTCTTTCTTTCTTCTCTCTTTTTTTCGCTTCTGTTTGGTTCGTCTTCTCCTCTTGCTCGAACTGAGTATTTATAGATGGAGATATTGATCAAGTTGGCCAATTTAGCCAACTACTCCATGCGGTTTCCCCTCCAATTTGCAATTTTTAATTTTTTTTTTATTTTAATGAAAATTCACATGGGCAAGTGCAATTGAAGCATCTTGACATGTGGGAGAGTAGCTGGTGGGCAGGTGGGCATGTTCTTAGCCCCATTTATTTTATCTTTTTCTGACAATCCCCCACAAACGAGAAAATAAAGAATTACACATATATACAAATTATTGTGCTCAATCCTCACAAAACTCTATTGCATCAGAAAATGTAGCTTTTGGCTTTGAACCTTTCTTAGTAAACATCATCGGATGCACTGGCGGCCTAGTGGACATAATGCCTTGAACTATTCCTCCATAGTGTACACCGAGACAATGACATTCACACAATAGGGTCTTAACTCCATTCTGTTCTATCGTTGTGTCCGTTTTGGCCATGGACAACACAATGGATTCATAAGTGTTTACATTTGAAGCGGCCCACACTTCCCACTTATATATGTGATCTCCCTATCAAGAGTAACCTGTATTACTCCACCTTTACAAGGTTAGGATTCATTAAAAGTCCACATGACTTAACCTCACCACAATCAACAGGTCATCTTGCACTTGGTGTGCTCTAAGGAATAGCTTTGGACATTCATATGTTCCAAGTGTTCGACTGAATTTTCATAGCTTAGTTTTCCCTTTGAACCAACTTTGTGGGATCTCCACTCAGCATGGTAGGGTTACCACTATGATCATTCTTTACATTGTGGATTTTTAATCCCGTTCCCTCTAGCAAAACTGTAAATTGATCTCTATTCAATCCTTTCGTCAAAGGATCAGCCAAATTTTCCTTAGACTTCACATAGTCAATGGAAATAATACCATTTGTGATCAATTGACGTACGGTATTATGTCTACGACGAATATGTCTAGACTTACCGTTATACAAGTTGCTTTGCGCCCTAACTATAGCAGCTTGGCTATCACAGTGAATCATTACAGGCGGCAAAGTCTTATCCCAACATGGAATATCAGATAAAAAATTTCTAAGCCACTCGGCTTCTTCACCAGCTTTATCTAAAGCGATGAACTCTAGTTCCATAGTTGACCGAGCTATACAGGTTTACTTTGTGGATTTCCACGAAACTGCACCTCCTCCAATACATAAAACATATCCGCTAATGGAGCGAGAATCTCTCAAATCTTATATCCAGCTTGCATC